AGTGAGAGGCGAAATTAAAGAAAGATCGCGATGACAATGTCAATTAGGTGAAACGAACAAGACTACATTCACACACAAGACCAACAATGGCAAGACTACAGCGGTCACAAGCATATCATTAGGACAATACCTCGTCACGTATACAGTAACATCCAACGATCCATAAGATCATACACACCTTACTGTCTGTACACAACAACGAAAAAACACAATGAGGCAAGCAAAACACACACACACACACACACACACACACCTACAACATCACAAACGTCACAAAACACACACACACACACACACACACCACACACACACACACACACACACACACACACACACACACACACACACACCACACACACCCACACACACACCACCACACACCACACAAACACCACACAACACCACACAACACACACCACACACACCACACAAACACCACACACACACACACACACACACAACACACACACACACACACACACACACACAGAACTTAACGACCACCACAAATAGTGAATGCCTAACCTAAATATTAACACACACAAATTAACGTTACAGTCATTTTATAGTCATATATATATCAACATAAAAATAAAAAAAAACGGAAAGCGATTTCGTACATTGCTAAAGACAACTGAAAATTTTGGCTTTTCCTTTGAGCGTCTGCCGTATATGGAGATGATAGTCGCTTTAGAGATGGCGAGAGATAGAGTTACAGCTACAAGCACACACCGCCTAGGAGCTAGCTTGATAAATTTGTACACTGCGTCACCAGTTGTCTCTAAGACGAGAATGTAAACGTTGGCAGCTGCAGTGTTTACCTTCACTGGAGGACCCTAGACGCTGCTCGTATTGGGGATTCCCTCACACGAGTGCAAACGTTCACTGATGACTATCGTATAGAGGACTACGGTTACCCGTCAGTGGTTCTAGGGGTCATAGTTCTCCGTGGCCCAGTTTCACTTCAGACCTTCCTGTTACCGACCTCAATCAGTCAGATCGTTAGTGCTGGCTGCCAAGTTTTGATGCTTCCGTTAGTCTGACGGAAGCAACACAGCTCTGCTGATCAGGAACTTTCCCCAGAAACTCCACATCGATAGCAGGTGACTTTTAGCGATAACTTAATGAATCTTTTACTAATTATGAAACAGCCATTGATGACAGTAAGTTTATATTTGATTTCGAGCAATGACTACATTGGCATCTGAGGAGCTTAAGGTCTTCCTGTCTAGCGGGAAGAACTTAGCCTGATGACATTGTAAAGGTCAAAGGCGTTATATTTCTTTATGGAGCTCCCTCCCTTAATGTAAACTTTAATTCATTCACACACACACACACACACACACACATACACAACACACACACACACACACACACACACACACACACACACACACACACACACACACACACACACACACACACACAGGCTGCAGACCTGGTCCAGCAATTGGCTCCTGGAGTTCAATCCCACCAAGTGCAAAGTCATGAAGATTGGGGAAGGGCAAAGAAGGCCGCAGACGGAGTACAGTCTAGGGGGTCAGAGACTACAAACCTCACTCAAGGAAAAAGATCTTGGGGTGAGTATAACACCAGGCACATCTCCTGAAGCGCACATCAACCAAATAACTGCTGCAGCATATGGGCGCCTAGCAAACCTCAGAACAGCATTCCGACATCTTAATAAGGAATCATTCAGGACCCTGTACACCGTGTACGTTAGGCCCATATTGGAGTATGCGGCACCAGTTTGGAACCCACACCTAGCCAAGCACGTGAAGAAACTAGAGAAAGTGCAAAGGTTTGCAACAAGACTAGTCCCAGAGCTAAGAGGTATGTCCTACGAGGAGAGGTTAAGGGAAATCAACCTGACGACACTGGAGGACAGGAGAGAGAGGGGGACATAATAACGACATACAAAATACTGAGAGGAATTGACAAGGTGGACAAAGACAGGATGTTCCAGAGATTGGACACAGTAACAAGGGGACACAGTTGGAAGCTGAAGACACAGATGAATCACAGGGATGTTAGGAAGTATTTCTTCAGCCACAGAGTAGTCAGTAAGTGGAATAGTTTGGGAAGCGATGTAGTGGAGGCAGGATCCATACATAGCTTTAAGCAGAGGTATGATAAAGCTCACGGCTCAGGGAGAGTGACCTAGTAGCGATCAGTGAAGAGGCGGGGCCAGGAGCTCGGACTCGACCCCCGCAACCTCAACTAGGTGAGTACAACTAGGTGAGTACACACACACACACAGGGAGATTGCCTGAGGCATGGAAGACAGCAAATGTAGTCCCAATCTTTAAAAAAGGAGACAGACATGAAGCACTAAACTACAGACCAGTGTCACTGACATGTATAGAATGCAAAGTCATGGAGAAGATTATGAGGAGAAGTGGTGGAACACCTAGAAAGGAATGATCTCATCAACAGCAGCCAACATGGTTTCAGGGACGGGAAATCCTGTGTCACAAACCTACTGGAGTTCTATTACAGGGTGACAGCAGTAAGACAAGAGAGAGAGGTGGGTGGATTGCATTTTCTTGGACTGCAAGAAGGCGTTTTGACACAGTTCCACACAAGAGATTAGTGCAAAAACCGGAGGACCAAGCAGGGATAAGAGAGAAGGCATTACAATGGATCAGGGAATACTTGTCAGGAAGACAGCAGCGAGTCATGGTACGTGGTGAGGTGTCAGAGTGGGCGCCTGTGACCATCGGGGTCCCACAGGGGTCAGTCCTAGGACCAGTGCTGTTTCTGGTATTTGTGAACGACATGACAGAAGGAATAGACTCCGAAGTGTCCCTGTTTGCAGATGACGTGAAGTTGATGAGAAGAGTTCATTCGATTGAAGACCAGGCAGAACTACAAAGGGATCTGGACAGGCTGCAGACCTGGTCCAGCAATTGGCTCCTGGAGTTCAACCCCACCAAGTGCAAAGTCATGAAGATTGGGGAAGGGCAAAGAAGACCGCAGACGGTGTACAGTCTAGGGGGCCAGAGACTACAAACCTCACTCAAGGAAAAAGATCTTTGGGTGAGTATAACACCAGGCACATCTCCTGAAGCGCACATCAACCAAATAACTGCTGCAGCATATGGGCGCCTAGCAAACCTCAGAACAGCATTCCGACATTTTAATAAGGAATCTTTCAGGACCCTGTACACCGTGTACGTCAGGCCCATATTGGAATATGCAGCACCAGTTTGGAACCCACACCTAGCCAAGCACGTAAAGAAACTAGAGAAAGTGCAAAGGTTTGCAACAAGACTAGTCCCAGACCTAAGGGGTATGTCCTACGAGGAGAGGTTAAGGGAAATCGACCTGACGACACTGGAGGACATGAGAGATAGGGGGAACATGATAACGACATACAAAATACTCAGAGGAATTGACAAGGTTGACAAAGACAATGTTCCAGAGATGGGACACAACAACAAAGGGACACAGTTGGAAGTTGAAGACACAGATGAATCACAGGGATGTTAGGAAGTATTTCTTCAGTCACAGAGTAGTCAGGAAGTGGAATAGTTTGGGAAGCGATGTAGTAGCGACCAGTGAAGAGGCGGGGCCAGGAGCTAGGACTCGACCCCTGCAACCTCAGCTAGGTGAGTACAACTAGGTGAGTACACACACACACAGTGCAAAAGCTGGAGGACCAGGCAGGTATAACAGGGAACGCACTGCACTGGATCAGAGAATACCTGACAGAAAGGCAGGGGTTGAAGTTGAAGACTCAGATGAATCACAGGGATGTTAGGAACTATTTCTTCAGTCACAGAGTTGCCAGGCAGTGGAATAGTCTGGAAAGGGAGGTGGAGGCAGGATCCATATATAGCTTTAAGAAGAGGTATGATGAAGCTCACGGAGCAGGGAGGGAATGACCTAGTAGTGACCAGTGAAGAGGCGGGACCAAGAGCTATGAATCGACCCATCCAACCACAGTTAGGTGAGTACACACGCACACACTGCTTTTAAGAACCTTGACTGGAAATCCTTTATATCTTAATACAAGACAGGGTTTGCTGTGTCAGCCTGCAGCCCGCATATGATAAAACACGTTAAGAAATTACAAGATCCCAATGTTTATGACGACTGGTACTGGAACCGAGAGAGTTTAACTATGGTAAAACACTTACGGAACTTAACAATAGACGAGTACCATAAAGAAAAATGACTAGTATGTATAAAGTATATAGGAGACAGACAAAGCGACGATGGACAGCCTGTCTGAGACGCTCAAAAAAGCCAGGGAACAGGTGGCAGCTAAGGATGCAGATGAAGAAATTTTCAATCTAAGCGGGATATGCATATGGCTAAGACCGGGTCCGACGACTTTTCCTTGACGAAGAAAACATCAGCCTTAGGTACACACAGCTACACATATGAGAATTACCAGAGAAGTGTCAGTTACTAGTTGTCAGAGGTTCTTGTCGATATACACGACCTGTTGTGTTAGTTACTAGTGGTCAAAGATTTTTGTCGATAGATATGACCTGTTTTGTTGTGTTAGTTACTAGTTGTGAGAGGCACATTTCGATTGTATGTGTGTGTGTGTGTGTTACTGTCGTGACAGCTGTTTGCCGGGGAAGTAACCATGACGAGGGTGACATCAGCCTCTGAGAAGAGAGAACAATTAATAGCGTGAGGTTCCGCTAGGTTCCACTATGGTCTCTCCCGCCTATTTGCTCAGGTCGAGAAGGACAGAGTCCACTCTCTTGCCATAAAACAACAAATATGACTATTATTAGTGAGGTTGCTCACTCTTCCCCGCCCACACTCCTTGCCCAGCCACCTGTGACAGGAGTCTCCACACAAGGTACTATAGTTTATGCTTGCTAGAGGTCGTTCTGAGAAATGTTTGGGTACCCTGGTAAATGTGTGGGTGCTGGCGTGGACGTGCTCAGGCCCGTGTGTGCAGGTATGGGCGTGGTGGCGGAGGCGGTGGGCGTGGTGCCAGGCAGGGTGGGCGTAGGTGATGTCCCACTTGGGAAGCACTGACGGCGCAGTCGCAGACTCACTAATCCTCCGCCCTGTACAGTCGACCCTTCTCACTCCTGAGTGCCGCCATCTGCGCCTACTAACACCTATATATCTGTGTGCTGTGACCTTTCACTGCGACCCCGCCACGCTACAACTGCAGGCTAATATGTAAAAAAAAAAAGAAAAAAAAAATACGTTTCCCAAATGAAGGACAAATTTGCAAAACTTTTTGATCATGTTGCTGACACCATTTACCTCTGAGTGAAAGTGGCACTCCTTGCCCGCGGCGGTACATCCTTACGGGTCCTGTGTGTGTCACAGTGTTGGAATATATGTGTATTGAGGATAAGCTAAAGCATCTAGTGCAGTCATGACTAGCACTAGTACCAGTGTGATCACTGCTTAGTTAAAGAGTGAAGCCTAGTGTCGCCAACCAGGCAGGGAGAAATTTGCCTACAATCACCTGGTCGCTAATATGCTAACCATGGATAGCAGAACTAGAACTATCGGTAGGTTAAATTCTCGACTTAATTATTAATATTCCTAGGATAATATGTACACTTATGATCTATGAAACTCACAAAGTAGGCGTTATTTAGTTGATAAATATCATATTTTCTTTGTTAGGCTGAAATATTGCATAGTGCAGTTTACAATATTCAAAATAGGAAAAGTGAAATGAAATTATTCAGTTTCCTGTGTACATACCATCACACTTCAGCATTAATTTAACGATTGCCCAGTCTAACTAGGTTAAGTTCTGCTCACAGTTATTCACCCTAACTTAAAATTCTTATATGATTTTTTATAACTAAATATGTAATGGTTAAATTCTGATATCGTAAATAGTTTGTGCATGAAGGTATATGACCCATTAACTCCGAGGGTAACTAATATCTCCAAGTACGTGTCTGTGACGAGTTTCCGGTGGCCTAGTGGCTAAAGCTCCCGCTTCACACACGGAGGGTCCGGGTTCGATTCCCGGCGGGTGGAAACATTTCGACACGTTTCCTTACACCTGTTGTCCTGTTCACCTAGCAGCAAATAGGTACCTGGGTGTTAGTCGACTGGTGTGGGTCGCATCCTGGGGGACAAGATTAAGGACCCCAATGGAAATAAGTTAGACAGTCCTCGATGACGCACTGACTTTCTTGGGTTATCCTGGGTGGCTAACCCTCCGGGGTTAAAAATCCGAACGAAATCTTATCTTATCTTATCGTTGCTAGGCTGCGTGGTGACCCCCCTGAGCGATTAATCTGGTTATTGCTGTTTGCAACCTGAAATTATTATATTGATGGGGAGGCGCTACTCGTATGAGTCAAGCGCCTGAGGAATGGGAGGTAACCAGGTTTGATCAGAGGATGGGGAGGGTAGCTTCAGTTCCTCTGATTAAAAACCATTCCTAGCATCACGACACTCCTTTAAAGGATACATTTATGAAACGTCTTTGCATAAATCACATAAAATATTCCATTTTTAGTTTTCTCATTACCTCAGTGAGTCTACAAAAATCATGATGTTCCTGCTTATGATCCGTGGTCACTGGTTTGTGAAGTTCGCTGCTGTCAGTAAAACTTATAGACTTCCTAGTATCTGCTTTTCGTATATTCCCTTAGTATATATAAAATATACGGTTAGTGTATATATCGTATAATCCAAATATAAAGGCCAGGATAGCAACAGTTGACACTCAGCTAGGTTAAATATGCCAGTTAGGTCAGTAAGGACTGAGTCACTCACAATATCTGAGTGTCCCGAACCATTGCTGATAAATTCACAGGATGTGCCAATTACCTCTTCTAAGACTTACAACCAGTTAAAACTGACAGCTACTGCTCGTGTCAGTGAAGAAGTGGATGGAGTTGAACAGTGACACATTGGAAGAGCGCTTCAAATAGGGCTTCAAAAAATAGATATGACTGGGCTATTTCTAGTTAGTGGGTCTAAAGATAAGATTAGGAGCCAAATAGAAGTAGTTATTCTGTTGACTCCCTTATACACTTAATAACTTTCAGGAGTGGTAGAAAGACGTATTACTTAGATATAACAAACCTGGTTGGATTTATTATTATTATTATTATTATTATTATTATTATTATTATTAGCATTATTATATGAAGGGTTAAGTCTGTGCGGTTCATTCAAGGCAGGAGTTACGGAGGCTCGACCCCCGACTGCCGACCCCCTCAAGGGAGGTTCATTTATGCCAATGAGGGGCTCTTGATCTAAGGAATTGGACCTCCCCCCTCCCCCCGCTTCCTTGGATCGAACCTGAATGTCTTCCATTCCCTCCCCAGGGGTTATTTGACACTCAGGTTTAGCGCTCCCCTACGAATATAATAATAATTCGTTTGCTGAAGGTGAGAGACTCTATTCTGGTAGCTAGTTAAGGAGTGATCACAACCTTAGGTATAAGGCTCGCACAGGATAAATGCCTTCAGGAGGGTGATCTTCAGGAGGGTGATCTTCAGGAGGGTGATCTTCAGGAGGGTGATAGGGGAAGGGTTGCTTTGATGCTGGCGAAGGGCTCCTGAGCCAAGAAACTGGAACTATCCTCGTCTTCCTTAGATCAAATCTGATTACTTACAATTTCCAGGCGCTGTATAACCCTTGCGAGTTTAACGCTTCTCCATGAAAATAATATATAATAATGGATGATAAAATTTAAAATTTAAAACGAGTTTAACTTATCAACGAATACTGACATTTGCTGAAACACGTTTTGTACCCTCCTGTACCGTTGCATTTAACAGACTACTTTTATTAAGTGTATTTAGCTTTTAAACAATTATAAATGTATCTGTGCACCTTGCTGGTGAAAGAGTTTTATGTTCTGGTGGTTTGAGCCTAGGTTAGATTAAAACTGACGCAGCTTTTCGCGTAAATAAAACAAAAATGTATGCATCACCCAGACGTTCAGAACTGTAAGATATTAATTCAAGTGCTACATAGCAAAAACATTAATGTAAAAAGTTCAGGTGGGGATATTCTGGCCTACCATACCAAGCGAGAACGTTAAGGTCAAAATCGCCAGCATAAGCTGATAATAGATCAACACCTTAATCTGAAAATACTCAGATTTGGAGGAGAATCACGGCTTCAAGAGTTAGGGACTGACACAGATTTATCGACAACCTCTGCATTGAAAAAATCTGTATTTAATCACACCACAATCACTGGTAGTATAGGTGTAATATCTACATAATTTATAAGAATATAGTTATATTAAATTCTTAGAAAACACAGTCTAACATTGACACGGTTCATCGCGCATCCGATGTTTTAACTTACGAAGCAAATTTAGAATCATTATGCTTGATCGCAACCAATGAACAAAGAGACCGAGGAATTTCCTTGTTAAACAGTTTAGGTTTGGTTACGTAGGTGGTGTTATGTGGGTGGAGAGACTTGGGTGTCCTGTGTCTGACGTTACTTCAGCATATTCTCTTGATTCTAAACTCATCATCCTTACAAAGTTAACTACTTTTTTTTTCATTAACTTTAAGTTTAATCATTAACACTGTACAGCTGTATGCAAAAGTTTTCCTTCTCCCATAAAATCGGACAAGAAATAAGGAGATTTTTACATAAATATAAATTTCCCTCAAGTGAGAAACAACTTGGCAGCAACTCAGTGGCTCGTAAAACCTGAGACATTTTACACCAATATAAGCACAGGTGTCACCGCACCCTGGACCTTCCCACCTGCATATAAATAATTTATAATATGTATATATTTGTGTCAGCACATGAAGGCGCTCGTTTTATTTCCTATTTTCACTGGTATTTTTACACACACACACAAACATATATATTATATAGATAACACAAAAAAAAAAAAGGCACAATACCGTGACTGGAACGATACACAAATAACCCGCACATAAAAGAGAGAAGCTTACGACGACGTTTCGGTCCGACTTGGACCATTGACAAAGTCACACTAACCATATAGTTCCGAATAGGCCGAACTTACTTAAAAACTGGACTTTTTAAAAGCAAATTTACAGATAAATATATTTTTTCATTGACAATGATATTAAATGTTTTATTTTTGGATCACACATAACTTAGAAATCTCACCTAATAAAGTTGGTAGAATTACCGACAATATGTAAAGTAAAAGGACACAAGTGCAACTAATGTTACATTTATTGTGGCAACGTTTCGCTCTCCAGGAGCTTTATCAAGCCCTCTGTGTCCATGTATTGTTTGTAATGGCTTGATAAAGCTCCTGGAGAGCGAAACGTTGCCACAATAAATGTCACATTAGTTGCACTTGTGTCCTTTTACTTTACAAATCTCACCTAGCCTACTTTAAACTAACGTATTTTTTTTAGCTAAATTCTCTATGTATAGCATAGATCAATTTAAATTTGTTTAATAATACTTAAAATCACTGATATATATATATATATATATATATATATATATATATTATATATATATATATATATATATATATATATATATATATATATATATATTATAATTGTTATGTTCAGATTCATTTCCGCTGATTTATGACAAAACAAAAAAAATCATTCTGATAATTCGGCAGAGGACACTCTTGCTGAATAGGCCAAGCTCGCGGTTCTGGTGTAGATTCGCGGTACAATGGCCTGGCCCCAGCCTTTTCCAAAAGGTGGCCTGGCCTTGGCTCCCTGTCGAGGGAGTGTCTCGTACCAATGTCTGGCATGACAGGAGGTACAAGTAGCTCCTTGTCTTCTGGGACCAGCTGTCCCCAGGCCTAGTCCCATTCCCCGTCCCCATGGGGCTCGGAGGCAGAAGCTAGGCACGATGGAAATAAATGGTATAAAATACTGACACAATGGAAATATAAACACTTAAGGAGTGTAATGTGATCCTTTATTGACAGCGTTTGGCCCACTCAGTGGGCTTTATCAAGTTAAAAACAATTATTTGTGACTTTTAATAAAAACTCTACCATATTCTTTACCAGGTATACTCAACAGTCTTATTCCCCTATAATTTTTACACTCTCTTTTGTCCTCTTTGCCTTTATACAAAGGAACTATGCATGCTCTCTGCCAATCCCTAGGTACCTTCCCCTCTTCCATACATTTATTAAATAATAGCACAAACTATTCCAAAACTATATCCCCTATACATACATAATATTGAATTAACGTATAAACAAAAAGTAATGTAAGGTAGGTACAAGAAAGCTTTCAAGATAATTTCCCGAAAGGATATCATGACAAGCAGGTTATTGTTCATAATATGCGGGATACGACGTGCAGGTGGTGGGTAATGGTAATGGGGGTCATGGTAATAGGTGGTGGTGGGTCATGGTAATAGGTGGTGGTGGGTCATGGTAATAGGTGGTGGTGGGTCATGGTAATTATATGATAAATGCTACTGTAAGGTTCAAAGACAACTAGGTAACATGGTTGTCTTGCGATTATATAACGGAGGATCGAGTCTCAATGCTCCTGCGCTCAGTATCCTGTAAGTGGTTAGAGTCAACCTCTTAATCAAACTGAAT